TATTGTTGAAGAAAATAATCTCTAAGATATTCCACATGATCTGGCAGTAAAGTTACCAAGATATCGGTACTAATGAACTCAGCTACTGGTACCTTTTGTTTCAAATTATGCTATTTTTGGAGACAAATGTTGATATTTTTTAAGTAGCTGGTTTTTTATGTCGCTGATATAAACTGATATTGCTGATTAAAATCAATCTCTGTGATATTCCACATGATATCAGCGATGTAGAAATCCACCCACTTCAAGAGTATCAACATTTATCTCCAAAAATAGCATAGTTTTAAACAAAAGGTTCCAGTAGCTGAGTTTATTACTAATTATCTCTTGGTAAATTTTGTGCCAGCTGATGTGGAAAATATTTGAGATTTTTTTATCAGCAATATCAGTTGATATCAGCGAGGTAAAAACCGACTACTTCAAAAATATCAACATTTGTCTACAAAAATAGCATAATTTTAAATAAAAGGTACTTGTTGCTGATACAAATGTTGATATTATACAAGTGGCTGGATTTTTACACTGCTGATATCCACTGATATTGTTAAAAAGGCCCATGGGCCACAAATCACACCGGATCACTGTGAACAGGAAAAAGTAGTAAGTAGAATATACGGTTTGAGCTTTATTGTGCCCTAAAAATTTAATGTTCTGAAAAAGTTATGAAATTGGCCTTAACAATAGTTGAGAAGATGAATATGATAAATCATAAAAGCACATGACATAAAAGAGGGTTTTTCTGGAAATATGACGTCATTAATTTGATACATTTCTAAGATGAATGCAGAAAAGCCCCACTATGACTCATTTCTGTGCTAATTTTCCTTTAGAAAATAGTGAGTGCCACCGTCGCCCGCTTTAATTTTTGGATATATAATGTAAATTGCGATGAAAAATCACATATTTTAAAATCTTTCTAAGCGACGGTGGTAGGGTATGTTTTCTGAAAGAAAATTCCACTGAAAATTGATGTCTTCTGCAACTTTTTAAGAAAATTCCGGAAAATGTTAAACGGAAAACGGACAATTAGCATTTAGGAGGTCATACGAGAAAAATGGTTTGTGTATTTTTACTGCAGGGAATTCCTATGATTCAGAAAAAATGACTCTTTTTACATATCACTTTCCTATTTTAGAAAAAATATAGGGTTTAATTTGTATTGAAACTGTACCTTATTCTTGGTTTAATATTGAAAAGTTTAAATGCAAAAGTAGTCCCATGATCAATCATGCATTTGCTATTCTTAAGAAGATGATTTTCAAAGAATTTTCCTATATATTTCTATGTTAAACTTTGGTCGGTCATTTTGGCCCCACCCTACCCCCGGGGCTCATCATTTGAACAAACTTGAATCTACACTGCCTGAGGATGCTTCCATATAAATATGATGGATTATGGCATTGTCATTCATAAGAAGAAGGTTTAAAAGAATTTTCCTATATATTTCTATGCAAAACTTTGGTCGGCCATTTTTGCCCCGCACTACCTCGGAGTCATGATTTGAACAAACTTGAATCTACACTATCTTAGGATGCTTCCATATAAATATGATGAATTATGGCTTTGTCATTCTTGAGAAGATTTTTAAAGAAATTTCCTATATATTTCTATGTAAAACTTTGGTCGGCCATTTTGGTCCCGCCCTACCCCCGGGGGTCATGATTTGAACAAACTTGAATGAACACTACCTGAGGATTTTTCGCCTTTAGTTTCATCTTTCCTGGCACAGTCGTTCTTGAGAAGATTTTTAAAACATGCCTACAAATTTTCATTAATTCCTTCGGCTCAGGTTAGCTAATAAAACAATCTCAGAGCTTTTCCATATGATCTGGCACTAAATTTACCACGATATCGTTAGTAATAAACTCAGCTTTAAGTACCTTTTGTTTAGAATTATGGTATTTTCGGAGACAACTCTTCATATTCTTGAAGTAGCTGGATTCTTACATCACTTATATCAACTGATATTGCAAATAAAAACAATCTCTGAGCTTTTCTACATAAATAAATATAAAAATCAGAAAAATCTTTCAACTTTTGTGACAGAACGCTGCGGAAGGGGTCACGTGACCGCCATTATCGCGTGATTCTCACATGCTCAGAACGGTGGTTGATGTGCATTAAAATCGGAGAGGATTAATTTAAAATATAGTCAACATTGAAACCAAATATTGTTTTTTCTATGGAAGTTATTCAATTAGTTCGCGAACTTTTTGATCACCCTTCGTACTTCGGAAAAAAAATACAAGCAGCGATTTTATGCAGCGTCCTAGGTCAAGGATTTTTTTATTTGACGTCATACTTTCGGGTATTTCCGATTTTTCACAATCTCCACTGACCAATGCAGAGTTGTCACTCGTTCCTCTCTCAGACTGCATGAGCTGATGGAAGAGAATGGATTTTTCGGAGACTTCTTCAAGGCCCTAGCTGGAGTCCGGGGTGAAGCCCCCGGAAGCTGACAATTTTTTACAAACAAGAGATGTTTTTCCTTGTACATGTATTTGTATCCAGAAATTGAATAATTTTAAACAAAAGGTACTAGTAGCTGAGTTGATTGCTAACGATATCTTAGTAACATCAGCACCAAATCATGTTGAAAAGAACAGAGATCGTTTTTATCAACAATATTAGTGGATATCAACGGTGTAAAAATCCAGCTATTTCAAGAGTATCAACATTTGTCTCCAAAAATAGCATAATTTGAAACAAAGGCTACCAGTAGCTGAGATCATTACTAAAGATATCTTAGTAACTTCACTGCCAGATCATGTGGAATATCTTAGAGATTATTTTTATCAGCAATATCAGTTGCTATCAGCGAGATAACAAACCAGCTACTTCAAAAATATCAACATTTGTCTCCAAAAATAGCATAATTCTAAACAAAAGGTACCAGTAGCTGAGTTCATTACTTTCGATATCTTGGTAACTTTACTGCCTGATCATGTGGAATATCTTAGAGATTATTTTGATCAACAATATCAGTTGATTTCAGCAATTTGAAAATCCAGCTACCTCAAGAATATGAAGATTTGTATCCCAAAAATGGCATAATTCTAAACAAAAGGTACCAGTAGCTGATTTCATTACTAACGATATCTTGGTAACTTTACTGCCAGATCATGTGGAATATCTTAGAGATTATTTTTATCAGAATATCAGTTGATATCAATACAAACCAGCTTCTTCAAAAATTTCAACATTTGTTGATATCAGGTACCAGTAGCTGAGTTCATTACAAACCTTTAGCTTCTTAGAGATTATTTTCAAAAAATATTGATATCAACATTCTTCAAAAATATCTTTGTCAAAAATAGCATAATTCTAAACAAAAGGTACATAATTCTTTACTTAATATCAAAAGGTGGAATATCTTAGAGATTATTTTCATGAGCAATATCAGTTGATATCAGCGAGGTAACAAACCAGCTTCTTTAAAAATATCAACATTTGTTCAAAATCACTAACAAAAGATATTTTTACTAACGGTAACTTTACTGCATGATCATGTGGAATATCTTAGAGATTATTTTGATCAGCAATATCAGTTGCTATCAGCGAGGTAACAAACCAGCTACTTTAAAAATATCAGCATTTGTCTCCCAAATAGCATAATTTGAGATAAAAGGTACTAGTAGCTGAGTTTATTACTACCGATATCTTGGTAACTTCAGTGCCATATTATGTTGAAAAGCTCAGAGATTGTTTTTTTCAACACTATCAGTGGATATCAGCGGTGTAAAATTCCAGCTACTTCAAGAATATCAACATTTGTATCCCAAGTTTGCATGATTTTACACAAAAGACACTAGACGGTTATTCTTATAAGGTTCAAGTCATTTACTAGTAGCCAGTTACTAGTAGCCAACTTTACATACTTCTCGTAGCCAGCTACTAGTAGCCAGTTACTAGTAGCCAAATTTACTTACTTCTCATAGCCAGCTACTAGTAGCTAACTTTACCACTTGTCGTAGCCAGTTACTAGTAGCTAACTTTACATATCTTGTACAAATATCATAATTTTAACAAGATATTTCTGTTTAATTTCTGTTTAATTAAAGCAAGCCTAATAATGTATGTATTGATAATGTATGTAAAAGTAGTTCCCATTTCGTTTCCACTATGCCATTACAAGGTGTCAATGTGTGCTTTCAGTACACTGCAGGGGGTTGAATTTTCAAGATTTCCAAAGGATGTCATTAAGAAAATGAAATAAATATAATATGTAACAAGAAAAGAATGTCAACCTTTTTTGTATGAGATTTTTTCCTCAACTCGCTCCATCTTTCTATCCATTCAACAAGGCTTGAGGATAGACAATACACCACTAGTACATGTACTGTACTTGGATAAAAATATTTACCAACTGAATTGACAACGGATATTTTTTCTCGTTATTTTCGGATCATAAGAAGGAGGTCTGCGCACACAGCGCGTGTGACCGGTCAGCAGGGGATGCTCACTCCTCCATGACACCTGATCTCACCTCTGATGTTTCAGAGGTCCGTGTTTGCTCTGGTCTTATTTTGTATTGTCTAATGGATGGACTTTTGAGCTTGAATACTGTTCGTATTCCATATTTCATTTCACCAAACCACCAGAGATCCTATTGAGGTCTACAGTGTACCACAGGAGTCTGGCGTTTTTATCGTTAAAAAAAAAAAAAAAAAATTCCGGAAAAAAATTTCCTACCCTTACCTAAAAAAAAACTTTACTTAAGTGTAGGAAATTTTTTTACGATAAAAACTTGAGACTCCTGTGAGTGTACACATTTATTTGCTGTCTTTGTTTTCATTGGAACGATTCTACAATAGGAAGAAGCTTGTTTGGTTTATATTGTTTCTTCTATATTTAGAAAAATTACAAAATCACAAAACAAGAAACCAACTTAAACAATGGACATTAACTACAATGTAACGCATTCATTTTTCTTTTTTTTTAATTGATAATGCAATATAAACAATAAAATAAAAATTTTACAAAACGATCATTCTTTATAACATAACCAACAGATTACAAGAAAAACAGGAAATTAAACAAGATTTAGCAAAACAATAAAAATAAGTCAGAACAAAATAAATTTATATCTTGTTATTATTAAGGGAAACGTTTGAAACAAAACACAAAGACTAAGTAAAGATTATGTTATAAAGCAAATGTATCATTTTATGTTGGATACATACAATCTGGTGAAACGAATGCTCAAGTTATTCATAAACCTGCGTTCTGATCGGAGAGATATGTAAATGTGCCGCGTGCTGTTCAGGAGTCTTTACAACTGAGTTCTGATGTTCAGGAGTCTCGTTCGGTTTTATCTTTGCAATAGTTGATGGGTGTGGCAATTCTTCTACGCTGACATCCACTAAATGTAACACCTCTTTAATAATAGGATTGATGTGCTGAACTGGAATTTTTCTTCTTCTTAATTCATGCAAGAGTTGCATTAACCTGGGATCATACGGATTGCCTCTAGAGTCCGGGTGTCTGAAACTTATTGTTTTTCGAGTTTCGTTCTCCTGTACCATGTCTAGCAAAGTTGCGTCTAAATTCATTATTTCTTTTTTAAGGTTATCCACCTCCGATTTGATTGTGTTGCATTGGGTACCAATGGTAGAAACATTTTTCTTCCGCTTGTCTTTGGAGTTCTCAGACAAAAATAATTTTGTACGTAGACCGATGGCTGTGGTCTGTAATCTTTGAATGGTGCGTTGATTTCTTTTAAGTTTCTGATTTAGCACTTTTACATTGATAGCCTTAAGCCTGTTTTTTAATTTTTCATTCTCTTTTTGCAGTTTCACACAACTTAGACAAGGACCATGGCATTCAACCTTCTGACTTTTATTTTTTTGTTGCGGTTTGTCCACTTCATTTCCTTTTTGTTTCCGAGAGGGCAAAATAAATTCTAACTTTAATTTTTCATTATACTTGTCCTTATTTGTTAATTTACTCAGTCTTTTAAGTTCAATTAAAGTTCGTTTTGCTTTGGAATATAAGCTCATAGGAGTTACAGCCTCCTTTTCTATTTGAAGTATTTTGCAAATTTCTTCATGCAATGCCAACACATTACCTTGTACCTTTTTGAAAATATGCATAAGGTCAGAATTACAAATAGTGGTGGGGAGTTTTGCAGAATAAGAATGTTCTTCCATATCTGAATGCTATCAACTTGTATTCTTCAGTTTAGTGAAAATTAATTCTTATATATACTATGGGAAATTTACACAAAAGCATATGACAGTTACTTAGTGAAGAAACACAATATATTCCTTCAATAAAAAAAATTGCGCTCACAATACAAAATCACTATTAAGAATTATGAAAAGGAGTAGTCCTTTTTTCTTGTAGATACTGTACAATAACTGTATGAATTCCCATAATATTCTTTCCTACAAAAGAAATGCATTCACAATTCATTAAATTTATTATTAAACATGAAGTATATCTATTTCATTAAATTAATCATTTTTTCTGGCATTATGATAATATTTATTTATAATTGAAAGGGTGTGTGTGAATACAAATAACAATGTAAAACAATTTCACATACCCTTTTCTCTGTTTTCTGGTCTTACAAATTATTGTATAAATTACTTGCCATATACACTGAAACAGAAATAAAGTAAACTACTAAAAGCTGGAGACAATCTACATTAACATTAAATTGTAAAAACAAGAAAATTCAATGAATAGCAGTCTTCCACATTCAGTGTCTTAGGGTTTGGAATGCTGCAAATATTGGCATCTTGTTACTCTTTTTTGTGTTCTGTCTTAGCTAACCAACATACAAAAATATACATTTCATTTTTTAAAAAAATTATTTAATTTGTAGGACAAAATTTGAGTCATTTTCCTTGCCAAAATGTCAAGTATTATCTCCGTTATGTATGAAAGCATAAAGCTACCAGAAGTCTCTGTCGGGACTGTAGCTCTACTGGTATGTACTTATAACAAAGGAAGAGAAAAGAAGCCATTTCCATCAGACCCAAAACTGTAGGAGGAGTAATGTTTTAAAGGAATTTCACAGAAATTTCTATTTTTAGTAACCATGGCAACATCTTTCATCGAAATCAAAAACCAATGCAATAAATTATGTATCACAGTGTACTAAGTCTACATTTGTTCCAAGTTATATTGAAATCAGTCCAAAACTGTAGAAGGAGTAGCATTTTAAAGGAATTTTAAAGAAATTTCTATTTTTAGTAACCATGGTAACACTGTGCATCGAAATCAAAAACCGATGCACTAAATTATGTATCTTGGTGTAGTCTACTTGTGTGCACAGTGATATTGAAACCACACTAAAATTGTAGGAGGTGTAGCATTTTGAAAAATTGTTTACAGACAAATGGACAGCTAGACAGACAGACAGCTGGACAAACGGATGGACACCTTACTATCGCATAAGCTCTTCTGGTCTCTGGTCCAGCACAATACCCTGATAGGTGTATATAGCTTGATATTACAAATACCTTGATCAAGGTATTTTATGTAGCATTATAAAAGTACAAACAAAAATTTAAAAAAACTAGAAATATGTCCATAGGACATGAACGCCCCGCCTAGGATATATTAGTAACGCAACATGAAAATTTGTATGTGTATAAAATTTGATCAGTTTGGTTCAGGTAGGGCTTACAGTTACTTGAGAATAAAAATATAGGTCAGATCCAGTATCTGAAGCAAGTCTGGTAGTGTCCATCCCTAGATGCATCATCCATGCAAGTTTGGTTCAGGTAGGGCTTATAGTTACTTGGGAGTGAAAATATAGGTCAGATCCAGCATCCAAAGCAAGTCTGGTAGTGTCCATCCCTAGATGCATCTTCCATGCAAGTTTGGTTCAGGCAGGGCTTATAGTCACTTGGGAATGAAAATATAGGTCGGATCCAGCATCCGAAGTAAGTCTGGTAGTGTCCATCCCTAGATGCATCATCCATGCAAGTTTGGTTCAGGCAGGGCTTAAAGTCACTTGGGAATGAAAATATAGGTCAGATCCAGCATCCGAAGCAAGTCTGGTAGTGTCCATCCCTAGATGCATCATCCATGCAAGTTTGGTTCAGGTAGGGCTTATAGTTACTTGAGAATGAAAATATAGGTCAGATCCATATCCCCATCCCTAGATGCATCATCCATGCAAGTTTGGTTCAGGTAGGGCTTATAGTTACTTGGGAATAAAAATATAGGTCATATCCAGCATCCGAAACAAGTCTGGTAGTGTCCATCCCTAGATGCATCATCCATGCAAGTTTGGTTCAGGTAGGGCTTATAGTTACTTGGGAGTGAAAATATAGGTCAGATCCAGCATCCGAAGCAAGTCTGGTAGTGTCCATCCCTAGATGCATCATCCATGCAAGTTTGGTTCAGGTAGGGCTTATAGTTACTTGGGAGTGAAAATATAGGTCAGATCCAGCATCCAAAGCAAGTCTGGTAGTGTCCATCCCTAGATGCATCTTCCATGCAAGTTTGGTTCAGGCAGGGCTTAAAGTCACTTGGGAATGAAAATATAGGTCAGATCCAGCATCCGAAGCAAGTCTGGTAGTGTCCATCCCTAGATGCATCATCCATGCAAGTTTGGTTCAGGTAGGGCTTATAGTTACTTGAGAATGAAAATATAGGTCAGATCCAGTATCCGAAGCAGGTCTGGTAGAGTCCATCCCTAGATGCATCATCCATGCAAGTTTGGTTCAGGTAGGGCTTATAGTTACTTGGGAATAAAAATATAGGTCACATCCAGCATCCGAAGCAAGTCTGGTAGTGTCCATCCCTAGATGCATCATCCATGCAAGTTTGGTTCAGGTAGGGCTTATAGTTACTTGGGAATGAAAATATAGGTCAGATCCAGCACCCGAAGCAAGTCTGGTAGAGTCCATCCCTAGATGCATCATCCATGCAAGTTTGGTCCAAGTTGGGCTTATAGTTCCTTAGGAATGGACCTGCTCCAAAATCTTTAATCTGGTCACTTATCTGGAAAATGTAGGTCAGATCCAGCATCCGAAGCAAGTCTGTTAGTGTTCATCCCTAGATGCATCATCCGTGCAAGTTTGTACAGGTTGGGACCAATCGCCCAAATGGGATATAATAGTCCGTTTGGGATATAATATCCCAAATGGGCTATAAATTTACAGTGCAAAAATTGAAAAATTTTATTTTGGGTATAAATATCATAAATCCGCATCAGGACACTTAAAAAGGAATAAGTCGTAAGTTCCTTAACTTCTTGGGGATCAATCTAACAAATGGTAGGGTTGCAGAAAAACTTGCTTACCAAAAGTTATTCCTTTTTAAGTGTTTTGATGCGGATTTATGATATTTATTACCAAAATAAAAATATTCAATTTTTGCACTGTAAATTTATAGCCCATTAGGGATATTATATCCCAAACGGACTATTATATCCCATTTGGGCGATTGGTCCCAACCTGTTGTATCCACATGTGAAGTTTGATAACACTATCTTGAATGGTATGTTTAAAACTGAGCTAAACACTAATTTAAGAAAAGTGACGTCAAGGTCAAAGGAAAGGTCAAGGTCAAAAAATGTTGATGCAGTTGCATAGCTCTCATCAATATCTATCAGCATAAGAAGTTTGATGAAAATATCTTGGATAGTTTCTTTGAAACTTAGCTTTGAACAGAGCTAAACGCAAAGTGTGACGGAAGGACGGAAGACGGACATGACAAACACTATATGCCCCGGCCATATTCATGGCGGGGCATAAAAAAAAGAAATACTGAAAGTCGAGTTCTGAATTGTTGTCAGTAAATTCACCCATGCATGTAAAGTATTCAAACACAAAGAAATCAGTAATAAAAACATGTCTTGTAAGATGTTCTTTTATACCTGTATACTATCTTTTTGATATCCGAGTACTTTTCATGCACGAGTGGACACACTGACCACAACTCATAATTCACAACTCAAAATAATTTGAAATTATTTTTATTTTTTAAGAATTGTTTTTGTATTTTCATTACATAAAATACCTTGATCAAGGCATTTGTAATACCTTGATAGAGCTATATATATAGCTATCTATATATTGAAATTGTGCTGCTGGACCTGATAGTGATATACTAAACACGATATGCTTAAAAAACACGTGCAGTTGATTAAATCTGAGTTTAAAAACTTTCCATAAACAAGGAAATTTTATTTACCTGGACAATGTCACACACTAGGGGACACTACAACTGGAATCCTTGTTACAAATGTTTGGCTACTCTCGACTCGACTGTCTCCTGCAAAACGTGACAACAAATCACAACTTCCGCTAGACCTAATTTAGAGTTATCGTTCTTTTCTCACCTGACGAGTTGAGCGTACGTTTTATCATTCTGCTAATGAGTTTGAACTTTCACTCTTGTTTCGTTACATTTATTATATTATGCAAGTGGATTATGTTTTCATAACATTAACTCTGTATTCTACCTGGATTTATCTGAGTTTTGATAAAAAGTAAGAATTAATTACATCAAGATTTTGAAACAATAAATGAATCATATTATTCAGTAAAATATAAAATAAAAAATGTAATGTTAGGTACCATCCAATCCTGAGAATAATTATATTTAAAATACGTTAAATTGTCAGTTAAGGATGATTTTTAAAAAAATAATAATAATAGAAAGTCAGCATGTCCATCCCATTGCTGAGGAAATCATCTGATGATCTAAATAATAATTTATCTATATAAACTACATACAACTACATGTCTATTTCGTAAATCTTTCCAACCAGGTTCAAATTGAAAAAGTCTGTCCTCCATAATTATTTTTGTTACTTCATATGAATGTTTTTCCGCCATTACAGTGTATCTTGTATATATAATATTTTTTGTATATATTGTACATACATTTATGGAACGCCATGGCTGCCTTATGTTAGATGATTATATTATATGCTGTGCTACTTATATTATATGCTGTGGTTTTATAATTATATGCTGTGGGTTTATAATTATATGCTGTGGATCTATTATTATATGCTGTGGGTCTATAATTATATGCTGTGGTTTTGTAATTATATGCTGTGGTTTTATAATTATATGCTGTGGGTTTATAATTATATGCTGTGGGTTTATAATTATATGCTGTGGGTCTATAATTATATGCTGTGGGTCCATTATTATATACTGTGGTTTCATTATTATATGCTGTGGTTTCATTATTATATGCTGTGGGTTCATAATTATGTGGGTTCATAATTATATGCTGTGGGTGCATAATTATATGCTGTGGTTCTTTTATTATATGCTGTGGTTTCATTATTATATGCTGTGGGTTCATAATTATATGCTGTGGGTGTATTGTTTCATATTTTGTCGGTTTATTAGAAACTAGCTTTTCGAATCTGGACTTCTGGTTTTTTTTTAGTTTACTTGCTCAAAAAATGGCGCGGCAACTGCACCAGGCCTAACCGTAATAGGAATGAGAGAGTGGAGTGCTGAATCAATCGGCAATCCTCGGCTGACTCCGCTACGCTCGAATTGTTTGAAATTAAATTAGTATAGTATTTTTTTTTTCTTTTTTTATACATAAATGTATACCGGGGTATTTCCTCTCGGTGTGTCGTCAAATAAAGAGCAAAATATCATTTTTTTTTTTTTGCCTTAAATTCACTTCACATTTTAAAAATTAAGATCTATATAAGGAAAAGAGTACCAATTATTTTCCCACAGAACTCTATGCAAACCTTTTGTCCTCTCACTTGTTTTTGTGTGTTGAGATTTGAGAGGAGTTATGTCCTTTGTTAAAAGGGGGGTAGTGAGAAGAATGTAGATATAAGCATAGGCGTCGGAACCGGGGGGGGGGGGGGGGGGGGGGGGGTTTAGCCCCCCAAACTTTTTTTTCCAAACATATACTTAGTATAGACATTGAACATTGTTTCTTAGGTTAAGCCCCCCCCCTTTCCACGGATACGTTGCAGTATAGGTTAAAAATGGGGAAATTGGTGGTGTTTGGAAAAAAATTAGGTACTAAAGAAGTTTGTCGAACCTATAACCACTCCCCCCCCATTCCCACGACTCGAAATAGAATCTTTGTGATAAGGCCATTTTCCTTTTTTTTTTTTTTTGCTTGTCAGGTTTTTTGTCAAGTAAGTTAACAATGTGCATCAGATTTCTCTTAATATGATAAATATTTGAAGTGTATGGCATCGTTTGAAACTTTAATCCAAGCGCTTATAAAAAAAAAATCCCCCCAAAAATATAGGGTCCATGGCGTTTATAGGTCAAAATTGCAGTTGATAAAAATTAACTTATAGGTACCGGGAGTAAATAACACTCTGCCCCCCCAAAAATCAACCCCCACCCCTACAATCTCCCCTGGTATTTCTATATTTCTGTTATATTCCTACATTCCATAAAAAAAAATCAACCCCCGCTCGTACAATCTCCCTGGTATTTCTATATTTCTGTAATATTCATACATTCCCTCATTTATTTCAAACATTAATATTTTTACTTTATAAAAAAAATAATAAAAAAACATTTCATACATGTTTCTCATTTAAACCAATCAGGTAATGCCTTCCTATTCAGCACTCTCTCATTCCTATTACGGCTAGCCGCCATTTTTGAGCAAGTAAACTAAAAAAAACTAGAAGTCCAGATTTGAATAGATAGTTTCTAATAAACCGACAGAATATTTAACAATACATCCACAGAATATAATTATGAACCCACAGCATATAATAACGAAACCACAGCATATAATAATAGATCCACAGCATATAATAACGAAACCACAGCATATAATTATAGACCCACAGGATATAATTATAAACCCACAGCATATAATTATAAAACCACAGCATATAATAATGGACCCACAGCATATAATAATAGACCCACAGCATATAATAATGGATCCACAGCATATAATTATAGACCCACAGCATATAATTATGGAACTACAGCATATAATATAAGAACCACAGCATATAATTATAGACCCATATAATAAAAGAACCACAGCATATAATTACAAACCCACAGCATATAATAATAGACCCACAGCATATAATTATAAACCCACAGCATATAATATAAGAACATAATTATAGTGCATATAATTATAAACCCACAGCATATAATTATAGACCCACAGCATATAATTATTGACCCACAGCATATATATAATACAGCATTTTTGTATATATAACCATCTAACATAAGGCAGCCATGGCGTTCCATATACATTGTTGAACCACATGTACCATTAATATGGTTTGAGTGAATAAATTGAACTTGAACTTGAAAAAATATCAAATAATTTATTCCATGTCACATAAACAAAAACTGAAACTTTGTAAATTTTCCAAAAAATGATGAAATGTATACTCAAACGCACCAACACACGAGGGGATATCACTTCGGACAAGAATCAACCACTCCTTCTTATATGTCTTACTAGTACTTTGAATAATTTTGCTCAGTTTTCTACAGGAGCACACCCATCGTTTTTTTCTTCTATAAGAATGCAAGGGTGTTTGGTCAATAATCTTGTCTACTCTTGTCCCGATATACTTAGTATTTCTGACTTCAGCGACAAAAAAGCTTATGTTTGTTGATTTCTATGCGAACAAAAAATGGCTCGGGCCTTGTTTACATACCCGGTAACAACGGTTTGGAGCTCTTAATTAATCTGTCTTGTAACTCGACAACTGACAAAAATTTGCTGATCATTGGAAAAACTTTAGTTAAGTATTCGTAAACATAAAATATGGTATGAAAATTTTTGGCTGAAACTGTGTCCAGGCCCCTTTAACACTCAACAACTTGACGTTCTTAAGCATGAAAACTTCAAAGTTGGATACATTGTAATATTCTATCTGTCAGTTAAAGAACATAAATCGCCCGTTGACATTCCTTGTCTCTAGTCTCTTCTAAATTACATAAAAATTGTTGATTTAATTACGGAAAAGTGTCTACGTTCCCTTAGTTTCTCTGCATCCTTGCAAAGCCTTAATTGATCAAAAGTTATATATTTAAAGAAGAAGTCCACTTTGAACCCAAAGTTCCTTGACAATCTTTGGCTCAAAATTAAAATTACATGTATGCATTGTATTTTTCACATCTGAATTTGTTTTGCATCAAAAATATGTTCTCTCCCTCAGAGGAAGACATGCTTTATTCACAGTAACAATACAAATGGTGCTGAAATTCCATGACTAAATATTCTTTAGTCTTTTATTTAAAAATTGCACTTACCTGTAACTGTCCACTAAGTTAACAATTACAGTGAATGAAAGTTTCTTTTGATAGTAAACAACCTTTACCTGAGACAGTCCAATAAGTAGACAATGTCTACTTAATACAATGGATGAGAAAATGTTCTAAGAGAGTACAATATGAACACAATAAATCAAATGTTTTAATTAAGTTCGTTATAGGCCTCAAACAGTCCATTCCGTCAGAAGAAAGAACTACTGTCGGGAGTAACGGCCCTCCAACAGTTCTTTCTTCTCAAAGAATGGACAGGTTTTGCCTAATAACCTTTACTTAGATTTATGGAATGAACTTTTCTAATAATTTTCAAATCCTCTTGTTTATTGGTTCTTAAGAATGCGATTTTAAATATTAGTATTTCTCCTATATTCATGTATTCCCAAGTAAAACTTAATGGGATAGGCGCCGTGTTCGATCCGTCTTTGTATAATTTCAAATGCTGAAATTTTTAATATGCATCTTTTCTTAAATACTTTACATGACGCAACTAGTGATTTTTTTTAAACAACACCCACCGTGAAGGGGAAGAAAATCTCGAGTTTTGCCACATTTCTGATATACTTTAACACTCGACAAATTATCACTTTGATATTCTTTCATACTGTGAGAAAATATCACTTTTATTCGATAAGTTTGATGTACATGTATATATTTCGTTGTTGATATGAAGTAAAAGGGAGTTCACCCCTATCATGATCAGTTACACAACAGTTTGGATGTTTAGCCTTGGAATCTGTCAAACTATAGTCAAAAATAACAACCAAGCAGAATATATACATGTCATTGATCCTCTGACTGGAGGTCATATTTGCTTTAGAGGCATGGAAGAACAGATCTACATGTACTACGTAAAGTGAACATATATAGCTACAGAGGCACCGTACTCGTTAAAGCGAGAAAAATAGTCAAACGGCACGCATAAGTTTATTTTCAAAATACTATAATACAATGTACTACCACTTAGCTGGACACCACTAAAATATACATTCTAAAATTATTGTCTTTGCTTTGGCAAATAAACAAATTGTTAAGAATGTTTTCACTTCAAATATTTTATCAATTGTTGATGTAAAGAATATTTTCAAGATATTGATGCTGAAAGAGAGAACGCCCATAAAAAGTGCAAATATGAAAGCTTTAGTGCAATGAAAAAATCTGTCATGTCTGATATCGACCTTCATCCAAGGTCAGCTGCAGTCAACGGAGATCAAGGCTGCTTAATAGAGTTTAATGGATATAAATTACATGTAGATCGGGGACAAATTCAACAAACAGCTGAAATGATGTCCACCTTAGCTTAAGGAAACTTTATACACATCCATGACCTGGAAAGATATAGAAGAAATAAATTTCTTTGCGTGTACAGTGATATGAGACGCTTATATATTTACTTGGTATGTCGACTTGTCTTGTTATATAAAGTTTACAGTTATTATACAGACTATAAAAAAAAATCTACCAAAATGTCACTTAAAGTCGACACTCCTGTTTTGATTTCTATACTTAATAAGAAATTTAATGCTTGTAATAAAGGGCTAGAAAATTAATTTTTTTTTAATATAATATTATATTAAAATATTTTATGTACATACATGTATATAGCTTTGCTTAATATTGCTTCCATTTCTCAACTATTGCCACGAAATTTTAAAAAAATGAAATCTTTATTATATGTGAATGAAATATTTTGTTTTGACTCTTCTGATCTTCAGAAGGAGGTGTTATAATCTGTTCATGATAAGGCTAGGAAAAGTTTTGATTGATATACAAGTGTAGGGGTAGCTGCGTTTAGTGTAATTCCCCTTTTACCTCTACTTTGAATACCTTATTATTTTTAAAAGAATCGATCAAGTGATAACTTATTTTCTTATATATAAAGAATTGAAAAGTGAGTAGATTTATTTAAATGGCAAAATTTTTACCGCTAGATTAATTTATTGCTTAGAACGACGCATTTGCATGTCTATTTATAGTCATCTTATTCATACGGATAAAAATTTGAACATATTTGAATTATAATTAAACTATATAGAAATGTCCTCATTTTGGTAGATCTGGGGCTGCTCTACGCGTATGTTTGATTTTTTTTAAAACAATTTCTTTTATAGCAAAACTTTGACCTTTTGGATTGTTAACATCTTTTGAATAAAATTAAATCTACATAATAATAGGAAGAAAGAATACATTTATTCAAATTTTTGTTGAGTTATTCTAAAAAAGTTCGATCAAACCTCAATTTCATATAATTGTTAAATTATCTCCCCTTGTTTTTGAGGAAAATAAATTAAATTTTTATTTTTAGCCGTAAGAAAAGTCGTCCTAGAAAAAAGTCAAAATTTGTGAAATGTTAACAGACACACTTCCGCTTGAGCCTTGGCTTACATTTGTATGACCTTGAAAGTTTATTTTGGAACGGTACTCAATGCATCATGTTATATTTATATGTTCATATAGACATGTTTGAGAGGTTTTAATTAAGATCTGTTCCACTCGCCGTACATTTTACTCCGTGAACTCTGTATAATCTGTACAGACGTTATGGATCGATGTTAGGAGAGCACCATGGCTCGGACTCACCGTGTGTCTGACGTGGACAGGGGCTGGGCCTGGGCAGTTCTGGTAGCCAGCTTCCTGTCCCTTCTCCTCAATGGATGTCTACTGTATGGCGTGGGAATTACACACGTTGCTTTTCTGCGTGTATACAGAGAGTCCGATGCCTATACTTCTTTCCTGGGATCATTGTTTAGTAGCCTGCTACAGCTCATTGGTAAGTATTGAATTAGAAAAATCAATGTTTCCTTATTCTACATGACAGACATTTTCTAATAGCTTTTGTTTTATTTTATTCTGATTGTAGTATTGTAGTATATATCCATTAAATATTACGGATTTAACCATTCAAACGACTGTGTGTTACGGACATTAATTATTTTCAATAAAGCACCTGCATTTAAATTTTATGTTTATATCGTTCAGGTCCAGTAGCCAGTCTATCTATAAATGTTTTCAACTGCCGCCTTACAATGATCGTTGGGGGAATGCTTATTTTCATCGGCTGTTCTGCAACGTACTTTGCATATTCCCTTGAAGTTGCAATCCTGACGTATGGTATTATTGCAGGTGAGGATTTCAAGCACGAAGTTTTAGAGAAAAAAATGAAAGAAACCTTCACCTTTGAATATACTCATAACTTGTCTCTGTTATCTTGTTAAGTTCTGTCGGAAAATGTTATGATGGTCCGTATCCTGTACATAAACCTTATCATAGCCTCCGTCAAAATGAATTAATGTGATAAGAAAATAATAAGTAGTACATGTAGTTATAAAAAGAATATGTGAATCAATGCATAGACAATTCAATTTCATATTTAACAATAAACAAGTAAATTTTATGTAATATAGCCTATATTGCTTTAAAACTAGACACTATTAAAATTGAAATTTATAATGAAGAAGAAAATATATCAATCTTTTCATAACAATTATTAATCAGAAATAAATGTCTTTCCATATAAGTTATTAAGGACATACGCAAGGTACCTTACCTATACTGATAATTTTTCAATATATTCTAAATTCAAGATTATTGTGCTATCAGATGTTCATAGATAAAAAATCAGTATGCATTTTGGATGATATCAAATTATGAAAATTTTTGCATTATTCAAAGAAAAATATACAAAAATTACAAAACATTTCCTGAGTTTTTTCCATCAAAATTTGTTTTAAAAGAAGTGTACAAATCCATATATAAACATTTAAGTATTGCACACAGGTACTTCATTTAGTGGAACTCTTCAACTCCAGGGAAAAACCCAATAAAGTTCAAACTGCGTTGCCTATCACCTTAATTTGAAACATTTTAAAACAAGATAACATTTTGAATACGTACACTGGTAAAGTACCAATAAAAAATAAATCGTCATTAGCTTTATAATGTGGAATAAAATTGGAGGTGAATAAATGCACATGTACTTAGCTTTTCACCGATTGCATGCATGATAATGGTTTGTTTATATATATTTGTGACCGACTCGTGAAGGCCGAATGGGTAAAAAATATATGTGAGTGACCGTAAGTCGAACTATTCATATAAATTATCAAGGGCATATAATAAATGGGGTCAGATAGGATATGTTCCTGTAAAAGCAGGAAAATTAAATTTACTTCTGATCACATTTACACATATGATCAAAATACTCTGTTGATGACAGGTATTCTCGAAAAATACAAATATTGTAGGGAACATTGGATTGGGAAGGATTAAAAGACAATCATCACTGGAACAGGATTCTCTTATAGCAAAACAGAGTTTTTCTGTCTTATATTTATGACTATTAATCTTCCATTATATGCATAAGTTTAATATAACTTTTTTAGAGCTTTTGAATAATGCTATAAATTATGAATATCATTTAAAACGAAAAATTTACCCACACCAAGTCATAAAATATGTATTTAAATAAAATATCATTTTTATCACATTTATTTTGAACAGATATCCATACCTTATCATATTAAACGAAGCAGACAATTGTGTCTAGTCCAGCGACAAACCCATCACTTAGTTATTATTGGATATAAACCTACACCTCTTACCGGGCTGAATATCTTAACCCCAAAACAGCAGTAAACTGTTTGTTACATATCTAATAAAATAGAATAGTTGACTTAAACTTCGTTTGCCAAAAAGAAAGGTAAGCCAACATTCTCAATCCAAAGAATAGGGAAAGTTTTAGTCATAAATGACTTGTACCATTCTTTATTACCAGTACATGCATTTCAGTTGTGGTAAAATGATGATGCGATCATTTCATAGACTTCAATTAATCTACGGTTAAGATTGACATAAAATTATTGAACATCAGAATCCATTTTTCATTACAGGGATTGGTAATGGGCTAGTAGCCACCCCTCCACTGGTAGCCGTGGGGTATTATTTCAGAGAGAAGAGAGGGTTTGCTATAGGGTTTGCAGTGGCTGGGGCTGGTGCTGGAATGTTCATTAGCGGTCCGCTATTTCAATACCTCATAGACACTTACGAACTTCATGGGACAATGCTGATTCTTGGTGCAATATTTTCCAATCAGATCATCCTTGGATGTATTATGCGACCTTCTGAGACAGAAATTCACCACAAAGCACTACGAAACAAATCGAAAGATGGTCCAGGGAGCAAATTCAATTTCAGGAAACATCTTCATCTTGAAATTTTCTGTGATAAAATGTTTGTTGTTATACTTCTTCAATATCTGATTTGGAATATTCCATTTTCTATGCTTTTGTTGCATCTTCCTAACTTTTCTGTTATTCATGGTTCTTCCGAACAACAAGCTGCATTTCTGATCTTCCTGATTGGTTTAACTGGGACTATTGGGCGTGTCCTTACTGGGATGGCCGTGAGTCCACACGCTATTGACCCTGTTCTGATGAACATGGGCATTACAGGGGTGCTAGGTATTGTATGTGGTTTGTTCCCTTTCTATTCTTCTACATACACGGGACAGTGCACATTTGCAGGTCTGTTTGGGATCTATAGTGGAGCATTAACAACTATGATAACACCGTTAAGTGTTGAACTGTTAGGTTTGGAGAAACTGTCGTCTGCTGTGGGCATTATGTATTTCATAGGTGGAATTGGATATTTAATAGGACCGATTTTTGCAGGTAGGAAAAAATACGAGTTGTTTATTGTAAATTTTATAATTTCACATAGAAATTTATGAATAACTTATTTTAATTTTTGCCAAAGTTTGTGAACATGATTCATCCTTCATTTTGAATTGCATTTTTTAATCATTCACTGCACTTTTAATTTATAAAGCAAGTGTCTTTTTTATTCAAAGGTAGTCTTATCGATAGTGGTGGAAAATATGAAACAACATTCTACATATCAGGTTAATATCTTAATTTGAAAAGTCTTAATAAATCTATTGGTTAATCAATACATTGAATTTGACATGACGTATACAAACATTTATAATTTCAGTTTTTCATGCTCTGTGTGTTCATTTTGCAAATTGTTTCCAGATCTTTTGTTAATATATATTTTTTGATATGTTTTTTTTGTAGGTTGTTTGTTAATTGTATCTTCCCTTCTGACATTGTTATCCACATGCTGGAGAAAAGATTACGGATCTCAGACAGAGAGGACCGACCATTTCGAAACTTCAACAGGAAGTCAAGCCATGAAGAATTCGACCTTCCTCCACCAATCAGGACTCCTTGCTGGGTCCATAATATTACAAGCAGACGAACACTTAGGGAGTACTTCATCCGCCATTTCTATGAAAAATCCTCGACTACAAAGATTAAATCATCACTCTGAAGAATGTGAAAGTCAAGAAAGTCTGTTTAAAAACATTATGCTTCGAAAGCTTCAGAAAAATGGCAGTGCTTGTAGCAGTCAATACAGTTTGTTTAAAGACCAAGACTCCACAAGACAAGTTAATGAAAATTTATCTTACACAGACAAAAGCAATGATATAAAGACAGAAAGTGCTTTGATCCATGGAGATATTTCCAATATTCAATCAATCGAGACATATGTCGAAGAAAAGATGAAAAAGGGAACAGATACAAACCATTTATGATAAATATAATATTAGTTTCATAAAAAAGTAATCTGGTTTGTTTTTATATTAAGTTCGAATGATTCAAAAGCCTTTTTGTAAAGAAATATTATTCACTATATTTAAAAAAAATATTTCTATATTTACGTAGCCCGCGTGACGAAATAGTAGGGGCGTTTGCTCTTTAAAGTAGTGGAGTAAGGAATTGATCCTTGATACGTCGCAGGTTCGAATTCCACTACAGGACATGGAGACCGGTGTGTTGGATTAGACTTAAATCGCGCTCCCGTGTCGCAGTAGGTGGCACGAAAAAATCCCTCACTACTCAATGGCCCAAAGTGCCGAGTGTAGATATAAATTTGCAGCCCTCCTTCAACAATAAGTGGTGACGTCTTCATATGAGTGAAAAATTCTCCAGAGGGACGTTAAACAGCAACCAATCGACGGTGATATGCAGTAAAAATGGAAACAAATACTGCATGAAGTTGGGGGATAAGTTGGAAATTTTCACATTTCGGGAGCAATTGTTTTCGGGTTGGACATTTTTTATGTTCTCTTGGCTGCACTTTCGACTAAAATATTTTACATAATACCATCAAATACATGCAGTATTCATAAAATGTGGCCCTGTTTTCCTATCATTAGATTGCATGGTGTTGTGGACATGCATCACTTTTGATAAAATCCAAAAAGTCTACTTGCCGATGCAAATATAGATTAACGATATAACACAGATCAGATGAATATTCACTGATACGTTACTCGTAAAAGTAAAAGTTTTTTAAAGTGTACAGTGTCTTGCCACATATTCTCTTCACCAACGTTATGTTTGTAAAGTGTCAGAAATCGTGTACACTACATGTATGCATCTAGAGGTCATATAAAGTTAAGCGTTGTTTTTCGTTGTCCTCGCATATGGTGCCTCATAAATTTCACGTACTCTGGAGAAATGCAAAGTTCTTTGATAGTTATGATAGTTACTGTTATACTATAAACGAAATTAAATCTACGGATGGAAATCCGAATTGAAAATTAAGAATGTACTACAATGTTCTATTTCATAGAGTCACCCGCGTGGCGCAGTGGTTAGAGCGTCTGCTCTAGAGTCGCGAAGTAAGGAGTCAATCCTTACGTCGCGGGTTCGAATCCCACTGTGGGACGTGGAGACCGGTCCTTCGGATGAGACCGTATAAACCGACGCCCCGTGTCGCAGTAGGTGCTGACACGAAAAAGATCCCTCACTGCTCAAAGGCCCTAAGTGCCGAGCATAGGACAACATTTGTAGCCCTCCGGTGTAACGTTGAATTTTGAACCGGGTTGAAAATTGACCCGGGGGTCATTTTTCAACGTTGAATATTGAGACCAAAGGTGTTGAATTTAGACCCTAGTACGTTGAATTTTGAGCCGGGTCGTGGAATTTTGATCAGAAAACCGGTTCTAAATTCAACAGCATAAAAATACATATTTATGACATGCTTTTCACCACTGTGTCATCCATAGGCGTGGGGAATGTGTGGGGGGTGTTAGGGATGCTTATATCCCCCCCCAACTTTTTTGCAATGATAGACATACAGAGTCTGTAATATAGGCATTGAACAACATGGATCCTAACCCCCCACCCCCCACACACACACGAAAAAGGATTTTCGGGTTTAAACTACTAGTTTGGACAATGGACAATTTTTCGCTTTCTTGTCATTTTTTTTAGATTCTATTTCATTTTTTTTCAATTAGCCCCCCCCCCCCCGTTTTTTCAATTTACTTTCAACACCAATGTTATCAATGTAGACGTAATTTAATCAGTAATTTAGTTATATTCTTAGAATAAAATATTAACAAAAATATCTGAGATTTCAAAGTTACATATGGCTTAAGATCGCAATATTTTGTGTAAAATTTATTTTAAAAAAAAGTACATGTGTAAATCCCGAATACTAGTATACATACATGTATTTACACATTAATACACAAAACAATTTAGTTCTGGAATGTGTTTATGTATATTTGCTTTTTGCTAACTACACTTCTTTTATTTCAATCTTAAAATTCGTAAGATAAGTATTTTAGTCCATGAGCCAGGCCATGAATTTTTTGGTATCGGTACCATCTCGGGTGAATAATTTTCATAGTTAATTTTTGAAGGACATACATCTCAACTTTCAGAAAATGTATGATAGCATTCAATTGATTGTGGCTTTAATGGTGTATCATTTGTTTATATTCACCAACCAAACTTGTTCGTTCTCTCAGCTGTGTCTTTGAAAGAAGAAGTTTGGTTTTTCAATACGGAATTTCTGTCTAATTTCGGATGATATTTTCTTGAAAATTCTTTTGAATGCAAACCATGCTATTACCCTGTTCAGTTATTTTTCAATATTGGCTCTGTAGAGAGCCGTCTAAATTATAAAGGAATATAAATCTACCTTTGATCAAAAAAGTGGAATATGCAATTTTGATCAAAGGAAAGAAATTACTACTGCGACAATTTTCACACCAAAAACATTGCATGGTCATTTTATTTAAAGAATTTCTATCATGTATTAGCATTTCAAAACATTATTTAAGTAACAAATATATATAACTTGATTTTATAGTAAATCTTTATCCCTATCCTAAAAATGAAAATTAAAGGAAAATTCCCTTGATTTACCCTGTGCGTATATTCTTTATTTACTTAACAAAGATATTGTGAATATGTCAGATCTCAAGTAGAGCCTTTACCTAAATTGTTTTATTTATTTAATCTCATGCTAAACCATGGTGATAATGAACACTTGTATGTTCATCTAAATTAAACGTAATATTATATATTTTTGAAATCAAAATTAAGCAACATATGTGCACAATCATATATGTGCTTTGTGGGCAGTGGGCTGTGTCTCACGACCTGCAATGGCCTGACGCCCCTTCCTACCACTATTCCGGGCAGAGGGAACCCGTACACTCTTCAGGGAGATCCCTCTAGGAGAGCTCTCTCTACACAAAGTGATGACGTGTCTCAAAATCTGTTGATTGCGGGCTTGCTCATCTGCTGTATCTGTCTTCATCTCCAGATGTCTTGACATCTGTCTTGCCACTAGATCTAGATGGTTGCGGGCGAGAGTGTGGTCAGCAACGCGCAACCCTTCTTCATTTTAATCAAACTTATCGCGGAAGTCATTGATCATCTTCCATCCCTTCTATCATCCACCCGAAAGCCCTGTCGCGACAGGCGAGCAACGAAGGTGACAGGTGCGGGTTCACTTGAAGTCGGTAGTCGAGGACCTGCACACAGGCGACACAGGCCATTTGGTCGTTTTCACCGACTAGAGCAGCGTTGGAGTTCGGCAGCCATCTGTGCAACTGAGCAGCCCTCTTTAGGAACGCACTGCTCACCTCCATGGGAAGAGGAGCAGATTAGAAAAGGTATCCCAAACGTTGCCTGCTCCACCCTTTCGTAGCCAGTTTACCGCAGCTGATGAGGACCCTACGCATGCGGTCGAAATAACAAAGAGAACAAGAAGAAACAAGGATCGGGACTACGTCATAGTCAGGAAGAGAGACAGACAGTTCGTTTGTTCACCAAGGCTAACTGCGGCACGGAGTTCACTGTCTCACAGTCTCTTCACTTCACCTCTCAACTTCCAGATCAAACTCAGGATACGTCCTCAGGAGACTAAGGCTTCAAAACGTCTCAATGTTGGTAAGCTCAAGTTGCCTTCCAATACTCAGTGCTTTGCTGACACCCTAAAAGAAGACCTGAACTCCACAGTGCTGGATGACCATGACGTGGAAGCAGCATGGAACACACTTTGTTATACAGTGTACAATACAGCCTTCGAGTGTCTTGGGCCGTTCACCAAAAAAACCCACAAAGACTGGTTTGATGAGAACCGTGCCGAGATCATGCAGCTTCTAGAGGACAAACTTCGCGCTTACAAGACTCATATAGATGATCCAACCTCCACAGCCAAGAAGACACTCTGAGGAACGCTCACAGCATAGTACAGCAAAAGCTTCGGGATATGCAGGACTACTGGCTGAATGCCAAAGCTGACGAGATCCAACGCCACACCGAATTTCATGACTGGCCTAGGAAGAACTTTTACTGTGGATCTGGGGAAGTCTATGGACCAACTCCATCAGGCTCATCCCCTCTCCTCAGTGATGACGGGTTAACACTCATCACAGAGAAGGAAAAGATACTCGACAGGTGGGCGGAACATTTCAATGGCGTTCTGAACCGCCCTTCTACCATCAACCGACTGCCTAGGTTCCCATCAACCAGTCACCGGACGCCGTTCCCACGTTGGATGAGATCCAGAAAGCAATTAGTCTGCTGTCAACTGGCAAAGCATCTGGCGGATACTCCATCCCAGCTAAGATTTACAAAGAAGGGGGCGTGGCTCTAGTCGAAAAACTCAGGATCGGCCTGACCAGTCACCTCCGCACCCACCGTCCAGGTCATCCCCCTCCCCCACTAAGATGATACAGTGGCCATCGTCGTCACGAATACTAGTAGCTAAACTAGTATATGTGCGTTGGAACTTATCTTTTTCTTTATACAAATGTTTGAGGTACATGTAATTATTGAATAAAAGTGGTAAAAATATGCATTTTTGTTAGAATCACGGCTAGTAACTCAGTTTATGTTCTTTTGATATGTTCATCATATCTCGGAGTAACTCTGGTAGAACTTTCTATCACGGTTGGCAACTGTGTGACAAATACTTTGCAGGTTGCAAATATATTTTGCTCAAAATACTTAATTTGAGCAAATAAAGGGCAATAACTCTATCTCCAGCACGGACGCCACAACAGATTTGATGCTATCATACATTTTCTCACTAGTTAGGGGTATACCTTACCAAATAACACTATAAAGTTTATTCACCCAAAATGGTACCGACCAACCCCAGTGGCTCATGGACTATTTGGGCAATGGTGAGAGTTTAACGCACGTACGTTTTAATGCTTATGCACAACATTAATAACTTATAATGTCCAACTTGAAAAATAATTTTTTTTAAATGAAAGTTTAAGTGATCTTTTT